GGGTTTTTTTTTCCCATTAAGTATTAAATACTAGCCATAACCTCCTCCTCCCTCACCCCCAAAGAGCAAGGAAGCAGGAGAATTATTTGTTTGTTTCTAGAACTTAATACACTGATTCATAACTTTATGACCAAAAATATATTATCCAGGGAAATATTTGAAAAAAGATACATAATAAAGAATGACTAGCTTTACAAAATAGTGAAATCTATTATACATCTATTTTAATAAGCACTTTCTTGTGTGCATTGATTGGTTATTGGTTATGCACAGCAGTGAGAGTCCAGAATTAGATTCCTAAGATACTAAGGTTTAGTTTAACATAGAGTTTCAAGTTGTTAATAACGTTTTTCCCAAGCCTATTTCTTTCAACAAAATGGATTTCTGATGAATAAAAATGGAAACATAAGGAGTATAAAATTAATTAATTAGGGGTTTGTAAGATTTCCATTACTATCATCATCATTGTTGTAATTACATTGGGAGATAAAAAGCATTCTAATCCTGATGCATTGCTAACGGGAGTGTATCATATTACAACTACTCTGCAAAATGGGCAGTTTCTTAAAAAGTTAAACATACATTTACCATATGATCCAGCAAGTTTTTTTCCTTGAAATCTACCCAAGAGAAATGAAAATATATGGCCTCCCAAATACACAGTGCAAATGTTCGTAGCAGTATAGTCATAATAATAAAAATTGGAAACAATCTGAATATCCATCAGTCAGTGAATGGATAAACAAAATGTGCTCTGTCTACACAATGGAATACTATTGAGCAAGAAAAAAGAACAACTGAAACACATTTGAAAGAATGATGAACCATGCTACCAAAATATAATTAGTATTATATAGTGAAAGAGGCCAGACACAAAAGCCTATGTATCATATGGTTCTACTTACATGAAATCTCTAAAAAAGACAATTTTGTAGACAGAAAGCAGATCAGTGGTGTCTAGAGCTTGGGATGGGGTTGGGAATTAACTGTAAACAGGGAACTTTTTGAGGTGATGGAAATAGTCTAAAACTAGATTACAGTGATATTTATGCACATCAATAAGTTCTAAAATTATTGAATTTTACATGTATAAAGAGAGAATTTGTGCTATGTAAATTATATCTCAATAAACTTGCTAAAAACAGCCTTCTAAAAATAAATCCCTGCAAGCAAGACAAAATTCAGAAGATATAAAGTAAAAAATATATTTGAATAAAAATTTATAGTTTTACATGAAGAAAATAACAAAATTAAAGGAAACATCTAGAGCTCAGGAAAAAATTTGCAACACGTGACAGACATCAGATCTTCTCATGTAAAATTTCTAATTTCAATAAATAAATGTACAAAAATCCAATAGAAAACTAAGTGAAGGATATAGACTATTTACAGAAGAGACTATTCCAATAGTCTATAAATGTGAAATATTTATTTAAATTCACCAATAATAAGAAAAATGCAAATCCAAATAATAATGTGATGAAACATTTCTTCCCCCTCATTGGCAAATACAGTAGTTTGTTTTATAAGTCATGGATTTAGAAGATTCTATGGGAATGAATTCTCTCGTGTACTATTACTACAATTGTGACTGAGTGGCATCTTGGCAGTATCTTTTATGATTAGAAATGGAAAGACTGTATGATTAACGACAACAAAAAATCACATTTACATTTATATCTTAAAAACCATTCTACATGAGCCTGAGGAGACATTAACTGAATGTTTGTTGCACCAGGGTTTGGAATAATAAAAACATTTCCGAATTCTAAAAGGAAAACTGATAAATTGGTCTTGATTGTAAAGCTCTGTACATCAAAAGACTATAAAACAAGTTAAGTGACAGCATGTTGCAAGCTACTATTTGGGTGTTAGGTATGGTGATGTGAGCACAGACTGGCACTCCTCTGGGCAGTATGGATAATCCAGTACTTCTATCCCAGGTGTTTACACTCTAGATAAATTCTCACATACATGCCCCAAATGACATAAAAAATAGAAAAATATTCTGAAATTTCAGATGGAGAACAGATAAATTATGGTATAGTCATACTAGGGAATAATATACAGAGTTTTGAGTGAAGGAACTTTCACTACTAATGTGGCTAGGAAAAAAAAAAGGTCATAGTACCAGTTAGGACAATGAAAGTTATAAGGGCCACCACTGCCACTATAAGTATAAGAATATATAAGCAAAACTAAACGGGTGAACTGAAAAAAAATCTTATTTTTAAAGACTTCAAGATGTTACAGATACAAAGCAATAGTACAATGCCAAATGCTGGAGACAGACAAGCTCTGCTTAGATGGGCAGGGATAAGTATCCACTCTCCTCTCCTGTGTCATCTGCTGAGCATCAACATGGGTGGGAGACTGATCCTAAAAGGGAGATTGTGATGGGGTAAGGAGAAACAGCGAAATTTAAATAAACAGTGGGCTTGTGTGGACTGAGATCAATAAAGTTCTCAAATATAATATATGGCTCCTTTCTCCTGCCAACTGAGTCTCCTCCCAGAACTTTTGCTGAGTTCACGGTTAGGGTATGGGAACTTGGGAGGTAGGCAGAAGGCAGAAAAACATCTCCATAGTTTCATGGAAATAAACATCAATAAGGAAATCAAAGATATGAACAATACTCCGACCACCTTTTATAA